AGCATTATCTTATCCCCACTGAGTTCAGAATCAGAGGAAAAGGGGCTTCCTCTCCTGGGGTTGGGATTTGGAGTAGATACCAGGAAAAACCTTCCCATTTGCCATTCCAAGAGGAATTACTAATGGGGAAATAGAGAACTTCCCCTGTAAATATATGGGTCTTGTAGGATGGTGCAGCGATTTCTACCATCTAAAATAAGAAGACTTTTTTTGTCGTTTGATTCCATTATACTATTCTCTCACATGCTAAGTTTCTGATCAGCTAAGAAGTTCTTTACCACTTTGTAGTATAGTATAATCATGTCATTTAGGATTGATTGAGTGTCCAAGTTGGGACATTTCTGAGAGTGGACAGAGATGTTGGTAATAATTACACAAGGCCAGTGAAGACTCCCATACAGATAGAGACAAATGATTGCCCTAAGAGTGACTGTATTTGCATCAGGTTAGAGGCAGGAACAATTCAAGAGGCAGCATGTGTTGCTTTCACGTCATTTGCATCTCGCATCGTTCTTCCTGACTCGAATTTCTAATGGATTTTCTTTCAGTTCCCTCTGAAAATCCAGCTCTCAAATACAAATCTTTTTCCTTTAGGAATACCTTTTTCTCCAGTTACACGGGTCCCTCTGAGATGCCCATTCCTGGAGTACAGCTTCATGCTCTAACTCTTCAGGGATTACAAACCGAGAGTGATTTACATGGAGCTGTTTCTATTCCTCCGTCTGCTTGGTTATATTTATGAGCCTGCGTCTCCCAGGGGCTGTCCCTCTGCCAGGAATTGTGAGTGTTGTGTTGATGATAGCATGATATATAGTGACCCACACAGTCACACGTTGAGCTATTGGATCATTGCTGTCACAGCTCCTCCACTCCTTCAAGGCTAGGGTGTGTATGTCGGGTGTGAGAGAGAAGGAAGAGGAAAAAAAATCCTACATGTCTGGATTTCAAACTGAGAAACTCATGTTCAAGAAGCATCCTATTGCAGAGAAATGTCTGTTTTTTACTTCCTTGCTTGTGTGAGGGAGTGATGAGGATTCTTGGGGATGTGTCAGTCACACCTTCATCCCCCTTGCAGCCCGTGAGTCTGCCAGACAGCTAAGTCCCTGCAGGGCCTCAAAAACTGTAGTTACCATTGATTGACTGCTTATTGTTATATTTTCCAGATATTATACCAAGCAGCTTCCAGACATTTTCATAATTGTTAACCAATCCTATTAAGCAGGTATCTCCATTTTATAGATGAGAAAACTAATGCTCAGAAAAGTTAACTAACTTTCTCAAGTTCACCCAGCTAGTAGGAAGCAGAGCTGGGACTGGGATTTGAACCCAGGCTAGCTGACTTCCTGCACACGAGGTTGACCCTTTGTGCTGAAGTTGATGGGGTCAGCATTTGACTCACAGTTAGTGTCAGCTGCTCAGCCTGGAAGGTGATGGCTGGTTTCAGAGTGGGGTAGATTGGTCAGTCTGCTTGGCCATCCTGCCTAGTTCTTAACTCATGTTGCCCGTTTTTTCTGTCAGCATGTCCTTGCTTGGTGTCTGTCTTAGTCCATTTTGCTTTGCCATAAAGGTAGTACCTGAGGCTGGATAATTTATAAAGAAAAGAGCTTTATTTGGGTTATGACTCTGCAGGCTATACAGAAAAGCATGGTGCCAACACCTGCTTCTGGTGAAGGCTTCAGGAAGCGTTCACTCTTGGTGGGAGGGGAAGGAGCTGGTGTGTGCAGATTACATGATGGCAGAGAAGCAAGAGAGAGAGAGAGGAGGGAGGTGCCAGCCTCTTTCTACCAACCAGATCTTGCAGCAACTAATAGAAAGAGAATGCATTCATTACCTCGAGGATGGCGCCAAGCCGTTCATGAAGGATCTGCCCCCATGACCCAAACACCTCTCACTAGGCCCCTGCCTCCAACATTGGGGGGTCACATTTCAGCATGAGATTTGGAAGGGACGAAGCACCAAACTTCATTGCCTTCCACTCTTTGCCTGGCAGCCTAGATCTCACCTCTGGATCCCAGTCCATTGTCTTATGAGTCCCACCCGGGGTGGCAGAATTATCTAACGGAAAGGTGGAGCCTGTCTCACCATCTGATTTTCAGGCTTTGTCTGCACCTTAGTTATTGATGCCTGCCTCTCTGGGGATTATAGTTAGGTGAACCCAGTTGTCTCAGAGACTGACCATGGCCTAAATTGGAAAGGGCCTTCCCACCCCTTGGCTTCCCCAGAAGTAGTTCTGTAGACTAGTAGGGGAACCAGACCATCCCTGGTTGATAAGGTGTTGGTTGGGTCCCTCAGATCCTCTCTATCACAAAGGCAAAAATAGAGGCTCCTGTAGATAATTCCAGACATTGTCATTCCTACCTACCCTGCAGCACAATAATTTACCAGACCAAGAACAGCATGGCTGGGGGGAAAGGAGGCAGGATGGTGATTGGGTCAGGGTGGGGTAGTTAAAGCGTACTGCATGGGAGACTTCATTTCTACCTGACTCAGCCCCACTAAGAAGTCATGTGACCTTGCGCAAGCCACTAACCTAGTTGGGCCTCATTTAATTTGCCTGAAAATGAAGGTTGGGAAGATGCCTTGCAGGTATTTTCTAGCTTTAGCAGTCCCACAATTCAGGGTGGCTTTCTTCTCTGTGCTCTGTAAATCCTAGGCAGAACCATGCCTTTTCTCTTCCCCTCTATCGGTGGAGGGTAGACGGGGCAGATGGGGCTGATGGACAGGAGTTAGATGGAGGGTCATGGAGGAAATCTCCTGGGTGGAGCAGCGACTGCCCTTGGTCTCTTGTGGGCAGGTCTCAGCCTGGCTCTGGTCTAGAAAATGGGGTAGCTCATCTGGGCAGGGATGAGCAGACAAGTTGCTGGCATATATTACTTTGCATCCCCAATAAGTGATGGAGAATTGGGAAAAGCAGGAAATACAGTACTATTACTAGCAGCCATCTGCAATATGCCCTGAATGATGATCTGAGCAGTGGGGGAATGGGGTGGGGGTGAGAGGCAGGACGATGGGAGAAAGAGAAACATGTTCTTTGTCCTCCTGGTGCTGACAGTGTGGGAGGAACCTGGAACTAGGCCACTGGACCAATTATGCATGTTACAAATCATAAAGCCATTTGACCCCAAAAAGCCCCTTGCAAAACCAATGTTACAAACAGTTGTAACAAATGGTTAGAGTTGTTTATGTGCAAATCAAGTACCTTCCTAACAGAAGCAAAGATGTGTGGTACCTTTCTCATTGTAACCTGGAAAACTGGTGTTACGAATGTCATCCTCATCCCTGACATGAGGATTCAAGAGGGTTCTATTGTCTGCAATACATGCATGGACTTGGAGGAATTGCGCTGAATGAGGTTCTAGAATGGGCTCTCCCAAGGAAACACCTTTCCATTTATGTTCACATGGTATTGCTTTGGAAGATTCAGTCTCTGAATCACAGGGCCTTTGTAACTGTGTACACTACAGTTGA